CCAGCATCGCAGCGCGCGCACTTAACCACCAAGCCACAGGGCCGGCCCAGGCCTAACATTTAAGTAATGCCTGATAGAACTAGAGTTCATTCTGAAATAAGATAATCAGAAACAAAGAGTAAGAACTAGAAAATGAACATTTTGGCTCCAAAGTATACATTTTAATTAGCCTACCATTTTTATTACTTAAAAATAAGTAGCTATAAACTGAAAATACATCTCAGAAAGATTTTAAGGACATTCACAACTGAAAAAGAGAAGAAAGCTCTCCCCCTTTTTTCACCCTGTAAATTCTACGCTATCCTCTTCTCTCAAAAAAGTGCCTTTTTTCCTGCCCAGATCAAACACTACAGTTTTTAAGTTTTTTTAAGGAATAAAAGGAGGAGGAAAATGTTAGCAAATAAAAAAATTGTTTAGACTCAGAAGAGGTCTTCCACTGATCAAAGGATTGGTAGGGAACATAAAATTAAGGCAGCCACACAACTACATTGTTAAGTAGTTAACAGGTAGCAACTCACAGAGTATGGAGTACTGACTTCCATTCTGTATTTCTGCCTTGCCAGAGGCCTTCGGTACAACTTCAGGAGTTACTGTGGAACTATATTATAATACCCTAGGTTCAGAGACTGAGAGGAAAAATCTTAAACATCATTTCATCTTAAAAAGCAGGCCTCTATGTACCTAATACATTAGTTAAAACCAAGGAAACTGTAAAATAAAATCCAATATATTGATCCCAAATTCCTTGGGTTTATAGGGAACTAGTACCCACTGATATCCTCTTGCCTGCTTCCTAAAGAGAACAGAGGCCACCAGGTCCTGGTGCTAAACACTGATACCAAAGAGAAATAGTTTTGTGCAAGCTTCTCCAATTCCTATGAGTTCAGGACTTCTGGCTGGGTTCCCCCATGCAACCCCTCCAACTCTACAGGGAGAATGGCTTCCCTTATACTAATATAAGCACCCATCACCCAACAATAGCAGCTAGAACATAAATGAAGATGAGAACTCAGTCTGCATTTACCTAAAGATTTCCCACAGTCCAAATATTTAAGTGACACAGACTGCATTATTGTCTGATTTATTCACTACATTAATCTGGAATTCCACAGGGCAGATTAACACACAACAATCTTAACTACACTAGTATCTAGCTCCAAAGAAAGGCAACAGATGTCACCTGGTGAAGCTGGTGGAGGACTCCATCACTCCTTATCTGTCTCTCTCCATCCTTCCTCCTACTTTCCTCCCTACACGTCTTAGGCTTTGCCCTCTGCTTAGTCCTATTGGAGAATCCTTTGGCCATCTATATAAAAGAGATTGGAAGGAGCCAAGAGCCTGGAGAACCACCACATCAATGAGAGCTTTCTCATCTAAAGATCATCTGTCCACACTGCCCAGAAGAGGTTTACTCTGTGAGATTAAACTTGGCACAAAGTGCTCTGTTGAGAAAAATAGTGTAAATTCTCAGGCAAAGGACTAGGGAGCAGCAGAACTCTCCAAAAGAGCTGTACATGTAAACCAACAGATCTTAGAATGTTCTAATATACTATATGAAGTTTCAGAGTAAACAAATGGTTAATGACACATCTTTTGTAACACATGAATCAGCTACAGATTTGCAAGAGTGGGACACACCCTAGTACCTATGACTGTTTCAAAAGTGGACCTGGATGTCTGAATTGCCAATCCATCCCACTGAGATTGGAACAGAATTGTACAACTAGGCAGGATGTCACAATTTAAAGTTAAAAAATAAACACATCATGATAATGAAGTTAATTTGAGAACTTCATTAATATTTTAAGACCAATAATCAATAGTAGCAATACAAAGTAAGGAATAGCCAATCAGTCCTAGGAAGCAAACACAATAGTAGTTTTCGAGGGGAAAAGAGTGTGGGTGAGAGGGTTGAAGGACTGCAAATTTAAGAACGAGAATATTCTCATTTCTAAAGGAAAAGAAATAAAATGAGGCCTTTAATTTAAAAAAACACATCTTACCTTAAGAGGCATCCAAATAGCATTCATAGTGTCAGGAATAGTTCAGACAATACTCAGAAATGAGCAAGAAGGGAGTTGTAGTAATCCCTCAGTGACGAAGTAGGAGCAGGTAGAAAAATTTTTTGTTTCAAGAAGGTATCTGAAAGAGAGGACTTGCATTTAGACTAAAAAATAATCAAGAATAAGCAAACAATTTAAGCTACCTAGACACAGATTTGAAGTACTACTTCCTTCACCATCCTAAAAAGATGTACAAAACACAGTCCCCTTTGGGAAAGGGCAAGTGTGTGTATCTCCATATATATGTAGAAATATATTTTACATAAAAAGTGGATTAAATGTGTAACACATACTTTAGATAATATAAAATTGCTTATCAAATAATTAGAAAACCATTATCCCAGATAGAAAAATGATTATCCAGCGTACTTCATAAACACGATTGAAAAGTCATTTGTTAACTGACCTTTTAAGAAAGACCCTTGTCATGTTTAATTTTTATTTAATAAATTAAAACCGCTCTGATCATTCCAATTGTCCTAAATTTTATTAAGCTTAAGTTTCAGAGCCGAATTCTACGTGAAAAATAAAATCTATTCTTAAGTGCTAGTAGCAAATAAAAGACAGAGATCTTTAAAAGCAGAACAAACAACTTAATTTTGAGGATGGGAGGGAGGCAAGTTTGCCTGCAGGTAGGAGGATGGCTTAAATGACCTCTTGTAGGATCCTTGTTCAAGTCCTCGGCCTGAATGAAAATTCCAGCTTAACCAGTTACTGCATCGCTTAAAATGGAGGCTTGCCCGAGTAGGGACAAAAATAACAGCACCCACCTCTGAAAAATAAATTTCGAAAAATCGAAGACTACAGTACCCTCATTTTTAAGAAAAATTAAAAATAAAAACCTCTGGAGTGGATTTGTTCTTGCTATGCGTTTGTCACTTCGGCTTCGAAGACTTGGCATCACTTTCCTTACCGGTCGTCAGATTTTTTTTTTTTTTGCGGGGGGGGGTGGGGTGGTTTGACTCTTTACCCCAGTCTCAGGAGGGTTTAACAGCCCCTCCATGATCCCCACCGCGAAAGCCAAGAGAAGAGAAAGGAGAGAGCCCGAGTTCCCACCCCTCCCCCCACCGTGGACCCTAGTCCCAAACCTACCCCTCCCCTTCCCTCAGAGGGGCGCCTCCTTCTGCCCCATGCCCATTGTTAGGGCGGGGGCGCGGGGGGAGTGGGCTCAGGGCAGGGGCGCCTGAGGCCGTGGCCCCGGCTCGCTTCAGGAGGGGCGGCCCGCAGGATGCAGCTTCCCTTCCTCTCGGCGTCGGTCCGTCCCACCTCGGCTCGGCCTGGCGCCCCGGACTCTGCTCGGCGCCCCCGGCCCGGGGCCCAGCCCAGCCCGTCCCCCGGGCACCAGGCCCCTGGCCCCTCGGCCGGCAGCCCGCGGCCCAGGCCTGCGGGTGGGCGCGGAGCGGGGGTCCCCGTGCCCCACACACGCGTCCGCTCCCCCAGCCCAGCCGCTTCCAGGGCCCTCGGCGGCGCCCGCTCCCCGGGCCCTTCGGCACCCCGCCTCCCGGCCGGGCCGCCCCCTCGGGCTCCCGCAGTCGAGGCCGCCTCCCCTTCCCCGCCATCACCCCTACCGACTCATGCCCCTACCCCCAGGGGCACCAGTGCCAACGGCTGCTCCCCCGGCCCCGGACCTACCTGCACGGCTCAACCAAGCCTAGAAGTGGGGGCGGGGAATCTTCCGCCCTCCTCTGTCTCTCATTGGCCCTTCCGGGGCACATCGTGAGCGCCATTGGCTGATGGCGGATGTCCGTCAGAGCGGTGGGGCGGGACAGAAGGGGGAGAGGGATGCTGGTGCCTTGGCGTCTCTGTCTCTGTGTATCTCGCTGTCTCTGTCTCTGTCTCGGCTCTTGGGAACGAGAGACATTTGGACGAGAGAACTGGAAGGGGCCTGGAGGTGGGAGGGATAGAGATAGGAATCCTGGTAGACCTTCCCACCAATCTGCCACTCCGAACCCCCTACCTAAGTCCCCTTTATATCCTCTTCTCCATCACCCCCAACCCCGGCCCCTCAGCCCTGTAGGTTCTTCATCCAGGAAGCGACGTGATGAAAACTCGAGCCGGAAGGCCATAGGGGGAGATTTTATATATGTGTATAAAATACACACACACAAATACTTATGTATGAAGTCAACCAGATATAAGGTCATGAGGGCCTGGAAAGGAAAGGGTACACATCTCACAGACAGGGAAAGACTTTGAGATATAGCCAATATAAGAAGGAATCAAAAATCCCTCTAAGAGCTGGCAGCAGTGGTTTCCTCCTGGGTGAGGAGCTGAGTGTCTAGGGGACCAGGTGGGAGGAAGACTTACATTTCACTGCATATCCTTTTGTGTCTTTTGATTTTTGTACCATTCACAAAGATTCCAATTTCTTTTAATTAATTGATTTAAATTTTAAAATAATTCTAAGGCCGCAAAACCAGGGGGACAGACAAGATGGTTGTCCAGGCAAAGTGAGACAACATGCAGATTTGGGGAGGAATCTTAGCTTTTAATATGTTCAGTTCCAGAAGCCAGTGGTAAAACCAAGAAGAGATGTGCCGGCAGCAGCTGGAGTTGGGGACCTTGGGAGAGGGCGGGCCATCTGGACTAGGGAAGGTTTAGGGTTCTGCACCTAAGTATGGTGATCCATGACGTGCTAAAAAATAAACTCCCCATAGACGTGTAAAGAGACACCCACAGTTAAAGGCAGAAGGATGAAAAGAAAGGGAAAAGGGTCAGTGAGGTAAGAAAAACAGAATATTGAAGAGGCACGAAAGTTAAGGGAGAAAAGGTCTCTGGAAAAATAGAATAATAAAATTATGAGAGCCTCACCATCTTGAGGCTCACTTCAGGGGCCCTGTTTAGGCTCATTAAATAAGAACGAAAGCCAACAAAATACCCATAAAGCAGAGTTCTTAACTTTTTCGCACCACAAACCCTTTTGGCAGTCCATTAAAGTATGTGGACTCCTTCTCAGAATGTTTTCAAACGCATACAAAGGAATTCAAAGGAAACCAATTACATTAAAATACAATTTTCAGAGGCTGGCCCGCTGGCACAAGCGGTTAAGTGCGTGCTCTGCTGCGTTGGCCTGGGCTTCGCGGGTTTGGATCCCTGATGCTCACAGACGCACCGCTTGTCCAGCCATGCTGTGGCGGCGTCCCATATAAAGCAGAGGAAGATGGACATGGATGTTAGCCCAGGGCCAGTCTTCCTCAGCAAAAAGAGGAGGATTGGCAGATGTTAGCTCAGGGCCGATCTTCCTCACCAAAAAAAATATATATACAATTTTCAAAATATTTTTTCAAGTGTGATGTAGTAATATATGTGCTTTATATTGATGTATTAAATAGTATGATATAATGGCAGGCCTAATGACCACCAAAATTTGGGGAAGTAAATGAGCATAGATAATATTTCAACATATCTTCAACAACTATCACATAATAGGAAAGTACATATGATTTCTATTGGTGACAAAACCGCAGACACTGCTAATACTACTTGATTTGTTGTCTCCATCCGTAATTGAAGGAAACACTAATTTTCTGTTAGACTTTAGCAAAAATAAAGGCATATTACTTTTCCTGATCCAAGTTCATAGATTTTGTAATCTGTGGACCACAGGTTAAGAAACCTTACCTAAAAAAATCATCCTTCCCGCCCTCCACACACCCACACCGGGATGTGACCCTGCCCTTCACCCCTTATTTCTGTCTCTCTCTTCCTCTTCCACACTTGCTAGGAGCACTCTCTGGTTCCCAGTCCCCCCTGCAGATGCCTGATGTCCCCCGTGACACAAAGAACAGGGATTATGAATGAGGGTTGGAAGAAAGATAAATACATCTTGTCTATATTCAAAAAAGAAGAGAGAAAGCTATGAGGTATATTACAGAGAAGATGGGGAAAAGGAGCCCAGGATGGAGTATCATTCATTCCCAAAAAGGAAAAAAAAATTATAAAAAGAAAACATCTGGGCTGGCCCCGTGGCTTAGCAGTTAAGTGCGCGCACTCTGCTGCTGGCGGCCTGGGTTCCATCCCAGGCGCGCACCAACGCACCGCTTCTCCGGCCATGCTGAGGCCACGTCCCACATACAGCAACTAGAAGGATGTGCAGTTATGACATACAACTATCTACTGGGGCTTTGGGGGAAAAAATAAATAAATAAAATTATAAAAAAAAAAAGAAAACATCTTTATCAGTTAAGAAAAAATCTTTTCTCTGAGTTATTAATTTTGCTTAAATCAGCCCTAGAAAACACCTTCAATCCAGCTCCTGATTTCATATATCTGTAAAATGGTGCAAAAAATAGTACCTATCTCCTAGGGTCTTTGTGAGGATTAAATTGTTAATACATAGAGTGGATTTGAAACAGTGCCTGACAGAGTCTAAACATTCAGTTTTTAACTACCATTATTATTATATTTGGCATCTTATATTCCAGGGCATTCCATGAAAATTCCTGGTATGATTATTTGTATTAATGACATATATAACAGCAAATTAAGAGCAATAAGAAGGTTAACCCAGAACACTTATTTTTCATTTAAATCCTTCAAAATTAGAATACTCCACTTTTTCCAGTCACATTTTCATTCCTCTAGGGGGAAAGAACATCAGTGCCTCTTTAAAGGGATTGTAAACTCAGAAAAAAATTTTGGCTGCTTATATTACAAAGAGCTAATTTCCATAATACTGTACATAAAGACCTCCTGCAAATCAATAAATAAAAACCAGCAATTCTCGTACACGGCTAATGGCAGTGTAAACTGGTACAGCCACTTTGGAAAAGACTTTGATATAATCTAATAAAATTTAAGATATGCATGCTCTATTTCAGCAGTCTCATTATTAGATATATATTATAAGAAAATGCAGAGTTTTAAGTGTCAGGATTACTGTACAAGAATATTCATACGAGCATTGTTCCTCGTTACCCCAGATTGGAAACATCCCAAATGTCTACCAAGGATAAAATGGTTAAATTGTGTTATATTTGTACAATGAAAATTAATAAACTATGGTTATATTCAGGAACATGAATAAATTTTTACAAAGGGATATTGTTGAAGACCCACAAAAAAACAAGATACA